GATGCGTTAGATTAGGAAAAGAGCGCGGTAAGATGAGTTCTGTCTGGATCAATTTCGAACAATTTATGTTGATCAACGCTGCAAAATGAGGCTATGCACGCAAACTCATGTAAGAATGTATATCTGTTGTATCTCTGAGGCAAAACCTGACGAAAACTGGATAGCCATTGTACATGACGCTCGGGGCTTGGTTTTTTAAGGATGCCGCACAAACCGCGGACTGGGAACGCGCACGCACAATAAAAATCAGTGGCACGACACCGTCTCACAGAACAAGATTAAGATGCACGACTGTATGTGAGGGTGCGAAATGCAAACATGCCACTCAGAAGTGTGCAGAGATAGCAAAATTGGACATGATTGCTGTAGCTACTGAAAACCCTGAAACTTTTGAAAACGTAGTAGGAACGGATTGCTAACCATCGGTATGTGGCCAGCTTGTACGTGTTAAATAATTCAATCATAGCAGTACGCGTTTGAGATTCCATTGGTTGAAAGAAAACTGTAAGCACTTATTCCAGTCCAGATAATACACAATGGTGGATGTGCGGTATGAAGATGCTGCCGGTATTTAAAATGGCCCGATTAAGCCCTATGGCGCTATGCATAATTGCTATCCGACAACACAGGTCGGTATACAAACAGAAGATCCAACACTCCTATACGCACAGAGTGTACGCGCGAGTAATCACTTCAAAACGTCCCTCAGTAGAACGCGTGCAGCAAAAACAAGACGACCTGGCAATGTAAAAGTGGGAACATTTGCAGGACTCCATATGACCGGTAAGTAACAGGGATCACAAATTTTCGGGAAAACGAGACCGTTGATCATGATGCACAGCTGGATGGGCCCGGATTTCAAAAGAGTGAACAATCTGATGGAAAAGCTGAGGGACTCCAGCTGAATCAGCAGCGACGTGGACAGTCTTTAGGTACTGCACGTAATGTTCATTGCATTTTTTCATTTTAATCTATGCTCACCTGCTGCTGCCTTCGGTAGCATATAACGTCAATGCTGTGTGGATTCGGGATGAAACGAATGCGACAAATTTCCGGATGAATGGTCCACAAGTGGGGAGAAAGGTCAGGAAAGGTAGAAGGTGGACAGTGGTAGAAGGCAGTCGAATGGCCCGACGTACGCATATACACACGCGCACAATATTGAACTGGTTTGCATGAAACCAATCCATGTCTGACTAGTGGACTAGATAAGCAAGTGCGATTTCCAACAAAACAGCGCGGAACGAAGTAGAGAACAGCAAAGCCGAGTAGAACGCTGGGAATAACAAACATAAATGGTCAAATGGTGATGCAGGTGCGGATGACGGACCAAACATGATAAGCTAATTGAGAAAAAGACGCGATAGACAACAAGATGTAGCAGTGCAGGATAGTGCAGGACAAACAACGAGGCTTTTCAAAGTACGAAAAGAGAAATAGGACTGAGCACCATAAAGCTGTAGGTGAAAGAATTACAAGAAATGACCGTCACCAGAATAGAATAAAAAGATGATGGTTCAAAAAAAGACAGTCGGACCAAGTTGTGCTTGGGAAAAGCGTAGTAGGATTAGGGGACGAAGTCATTAATGAACACAGGGATGAAAAACTGAACGCCCAAACGAATTTAAAGAGAACTACTAGTTAAGTCAAATAATTTTAGGAGTCAAATGAACGCCAAAGCTCAAAGCCAGAACAATGGGATGTGTAACGAAGTTTGTGAGTGGTACCTAACTGTAATGCGCACCTATGCCGATAGAAACGAACACATGGCACGCCTACACAAAAATGATGAAAACTGAGACAAAATGAAGATGTTATTGGAATGACTGCTTAACAGTACGGACAGTTAATGTGTCAGTGAACAGTCAGTGAGCACTGACCGAAACACGATTAATCTGGTATGGGTGAGCGGGCGGGAGAAGCTTACGGTAGTGGGAACCACATCATTCAGCTAGCCGCGACTGTGGGCCACCAGTCACCAACTCCATTGCCTCGGTAAACTGGCTGAATCACGGGACTGGTTTTAACGGAACCGGTAGCAGGTGGGCTGGAGGCAGTGCCCGAATCAATGGCGAACGAATTATCGTTTTGCAAGGGTTGCGCGTTGTTGACTGGTGAGGATATTGAAGTATTAGGATCCGGACCAGGAACGGTTGCTTGTGCACCATTTGCCATAGCTGCAATCATTGCCGCAGCCATAGCCGCTTGTTGTTGTTGATGTGGCGACTGTCGTTGAGGAGCAGTTGATCCAGCGCCGTATGTCTGCGGTTTACTGTAGTAAGACAGCGAAATTACTTGGGATCAAAGTTGCTTGCTGTTGCTGTTGTTACTGCAGAGCCTGATGTCCATCGGCCGAATTAGCAGAGCTGAAAGTGGGTGAGGTTCCGGTTCTAATACCAAGCTATAGGTTACCAGCTTAAGGCTCCCTTAATCTACTAAAATCCTTCGTTTTTACCACCCAGACGCAGCAGGTTATCTCCTGATGACCTTTAGAGCTACAACGAAAAAACGCTCTCCAGCCGGTAAGGCTAGCCCTAAAACTGAGGGCTGGGTATTTCCCTGTGGAAGAACTGGCTGCCTAGTTAGCGTAAGCGAGGGCATCTGCTGTGACTGTTGTGGTACATGGTATCACCGTAAGTGCAGCAAACTTACTATCAAGACCTATGGCCTCTACACTGAGTACAAATGCCTGAAATGGGTGTACTATGTGTGCACTAACGCAGGCGGCCAAGGTAAAGGCTGCGGGGCCCGGCACCCCACCAAAATTGATAGCTCCTGCATTTGAACCACTTAAGCCAGTTGGTAGCACACTACAGACAGGGTCGGGATAAACCTCAGCCCCAGAAGTAAAGCTCCCAGCGACACTCAGTAGTTCCTTACTGGATGTCACGGTTGTGGATAGAAAAGGCGTTGAGGCCACCACTGACAGCTTGGACATAGTAGGCCTTAGGATTGACCTGACAAGCCAAATGAAAGTGGTCATTGACACACTAGCCAACCAAGCCACCGAACTAGCCAGAGTGACCAAACTGGTTGTATCAAACGCCAAAAGCATAAAGACTCTTGAAGGGAATAGCGACATCGCCCTCGGGAGGCACAGGAATGTGATCATCAAAAGGCATAGCGGAGCCCTTCTGTAGGACTGCTAAGTGGAGGGAAGCGCTAACAAGGCATCACGTCACCTCCCTCCTCAGACTAACAGGAACTCCACCCCACGCATCCATCAAGCGGGTCCTACGGCTAGGAAAATGGTCACCGAAAGGTAACAAGGGGAGACCTGTGCTTGTCGAGTTCAGCAACCCTCGACACAGAGACTCTTTTTTAGCAGCCTCTGCTCTCAGTAGAGCAGAGACCAAAGGGGTTATTTCTGTAGAGCCTGACAACGCCAGCAAGGGCTGAACAAACAAACAGCTACCGACCGTAACGCCCTCGAAACTGCCCTCCCCACGGATGCCTAAGGTGACAAATAAGGGAACACCCACTGCAGTAACATCACCCATTAGTCGGCCCGAGTTAAGCATCCTAGCCAACCCACAGCCTCCCACCCTCAATTGAAAGCCCAGGCTAGAAACGCCTGGCATACCCAGCAAGCCTTCCGATGCAAAAAACGGAGGGCGGACTCGGGTCTAAAGCCCGAGTCCAACCCCAAAGTTCCCATTACTAGCCATAGATCAGGTTTGAGGGTGTTCAGCACAAACGCTGCAGCCTGGGGAACAAATGGGGTGAATTAACGTCGGAGTGCATTCACTCCGACCGCATAGCGATAACTGAAACCTGGTTCCGACCGAATGAGGACATCGAGTCGATAAAACCAAAAGGTTTCAGTGTCTTCAGAACCGACAATCGCATAGGAGGGGGGGCACTGCTTACGAACAGCGAGCGACTACAAACGGAAACAGTCATCCCTTTAAACACCCCCAACATTCAGGTGGCGGTATGTATGATACACCTCAACACAAAGAAGCTGGCGGCAGGCTGCGTGTACCGTAGGCCCTCAGCATCCCAGGTGGAGGATGAGCAACTACTGTCATACCTCCGATAGTTCGGTTACGGAACTACCAGCGTGTTAATTCTGGGAGACTTGAATGCCCCTGAAGTCGATTGGAATGTCACGTGGGCACCCCCAAGCAGTTTTGGGCATATGTTAGTAAGTTTTACCCTCGACTGCGCTCTAGTCCAACATGTCAGCCAACCCACGCATTATCGCATTGGGCAAAACCCTGGGTTACTGGACCTGGTCCTCAGCAAGTATCCCAACGACGTGATCGGTCTAGAAACCTCCCCACCCCTAGACAGGAGTGGCAACTTAATCCTACGTTTCTACCTCCAGGAAAATGGTCCAAACCCTTTCGTAAAATGGAGGAGAGCCTTCAACAGGATAAACAGCAACTCCCTCGTTGCAAGAGCTACTGAGCTACACTGGGGGGCTCAGCCCGACACACTAGAATGGCTGTGGAGCGTCATCAAGTCAAACCTCTCAGTGCTCACTTCTGAGTTTGCTCCGTTAAGGAGGATTCGCAATAACGGCAAACTTCCCTGGTGGTCGAGCAGGGTTGCAAAGGCACAAGCCCGAAAGCGCAAAGCTTGGAGGCAATACCTCAGGACCCGTAGCCATCATAGGTATCTCCAGTACGTCAGGGAGAAAGATAGCGCGATCAGTGCCCAGACGGCTTGTCGTAGGGCCTACGAAATGAGGCTGGCGCGGCAGATTANTTAACAAGGCATCACGTCACCTCCCTTCTCAGACTAACAGGAACTCCACCTCACGCATCCATCAAGCGGGTCCTACGGCTAGGAAAGTGGTCGCCGAAAGGTAACAAGGGGAGGCCTATGCTTGTCGAGTTCAACAACCCTCGACACAGAGACTCTTTTCTAGCAGCCTCTGCTCTACTGAGGGCAGGGACTAAAGGGGTTATTTCTGTAGAGCCTGAAAAGGCTATCAAGGGCCAAACAGACAAGCAGCTACCGATCGTAACGCCCTCAAAACTGCCCTTCCTACGGCTTCCCAAGGTGACAAATAAGGGAACACCCACTGCAGTAACATCAACCACTAGTCGGCCCGGGTTAAGCATCCTAACCAACCCACAGCCTCCCACCCTAAATTGCAAGCCTAGGCTAGAAACGTCTGGCATACCCAGCAAACCTTCCAATGCAAAAAACGGAGGGAGGACCCGGGTTTAAACCCCGAGTTCCACCTTAAGGTTCCCATCACTGTACACAGATCAGGTCTGAGGGTGTTCAGCACAAACGCCTACAGTCTGGGGGAACATATGGGGCGAATTAACGTCGGAGTGCATTCACTCCGACTGCATAGCGATAACTGAAACCTGGTTCCGACCGAATGAGAACATCGAGTCGTTAAGACCAAAAGGTTTCAGTGTCTTCAGAACCGATAGGGAAGACAATCGCATAGGAGGGGGCACTACTTATGACTAGCGAGCGACTCCAAACAGAAACAGTCGCCCCTTTAAACTCCCTCAACATTCAGGTGGCGGCATGTATCATACATCTCCCCAC